ACCTTAAGCATATCATCAAACAAATCAGGATTATAATTTCACTTACCCGACTCTAATCTTAAGCATACCATCAAACAAATCAGGATTATAATTTCACTTACCCGACTCTAATCTTAAGTATACCATCAAACAAATCAGAATTATAATTTCACTTACCTGACTCTAATCTTAAGCATACCATCAAACAAATCAGGATTATAATTTCACTTACCTTAAGCATATCATCAAACAAATCAGGATTATAATTTCACTTACCTGACTCTAATCTTAAGCATACCATCAAACAAATCAGGATTATAATTTCACTTACCTGACTCTAATCTTAAGCATACCATCAAACAAATCAGGATTATAATTTCACTTACCTGACTCTAATCTTAAGCATACCATCAAACAAATCAGAATTATAATTTTACTTACCTGACTCTAATCTTATGCATACCATCAAACAAATCAGGATTATAATTTCACTTACCTGACTCTAATCTTAAGCATACCATCAAACAAATCAAGATTATAATTTCACCTACCTTAAGCATATCATCAAACAAATCAGGATTATAATTTCACTTACCTGACTCTAATCTTAAGCATACCATCAAACAAATCAGGATTATAATTTCACTTACCTGACTCTAATCTTAAGCATACCATCAAACAAATCAGGATTATAATTTCACTTACCTGACTCTAATCTTAAGCATACCATCAAACAAATCAAGATTATAATTTCACTTACCTTAAGCATATCATCAAACAAATCAGAATTATAATTTCACTTACCTTAAGCATATCATCAAACAAATCAGGATTATAATTTCACTTACCTGACTCTAATCTTAAGCATACCATCAAACAAATCAAGATTATAATTTCACCTACCTTAAGCATATCATCAAACAAATCAGAATTATAATTTCACTTACCTTAAGCATATCATCAAACAAATCAGGATTATAATTTCACTTACCTGACTCTAATCTTAAGCATACCATCAAACAAATCAGGATTATAATTTCACTTACCTGACTCTAATCTTAAGCATACCATCAAACAAATCAAGATTATAATTTCACTTACCTTAAGCATATCATCAAACAAATCAGAATTATAATTTCACTTACCTTAAGCATACCATCAAACAAATCAAGATTATAATTTCACTTACCTTAAGCATACCATCAAACAAATCAGGATTACAATTTCACTTACCTGACTCTAATCTTAAGCATACCATCAAACAAATCAGGATTATAATTTCACTTACCTGACTCTAATCTTAAGCATACCATCAAACAAATCAGGATTATAATTTCACTTACCCAACTCTAATTTTAAGCATATCATCAAACCAATCGGGATTATAATTTCACTTACCCGACTCTAATCTTAAGCATA